AGAGCATAAGCTAGGTGGCATGTTGAATGGCTCAAGAAGCATGAGATTCCTGGCCAAGAGAGAGAAAGGCCACATCTGTGGATGTGAGACTTATGGAGATGGGGAATTCCAGGGCACAGAGGGACCCAGGGATACAGACATCCTGTAGCACATCCTTAGAGGATCAGTGGGAATTGCCATTCACAGGGGTTCCCCATTTTCATTTTCACCCTGTTTAGAAGGCACTTAGTTTCCTTGGGAATTTTGTCTACTATGGCCATCAGTCCCTGCCCTAGGGCAAGGCCACTCCTAGGTGATTCTCAAAAGGAGTTTGATCCAGTGAGGTCTCTGAGCAGGAGTCAAGAGGCCTGAAAACGATTCTACCTACTTGGAGAAAGATAAGTCACTCAGTCTTTAAGAAAAGTGTCTCCTGTCCTTTGCAACCCAACTAGCAGGGAGAAGAGCTCAGGTTGTACAAAGTTTCCTTAGGTTTTCAAAGTGCACTGTGAGAGTGAGAAATGGGGTTCCAGCTATTTGTTAGAGAGGGGAATTGAGAGGTAGAAAGTCTAGGGCCTGCCCAGGGGCATAGAGAAGCCTTCTCTCTCCAGCCTGCTGGCCAGTTAGCTAAATCATTCTGCTTCGAGATTGGAGAAATAAGCCCAGTGAGGTGAGGACCACAGTTTTCTCATCCTTGGAGTTCTACAGGCTTGTGAGCATATTCTCCAAAGCCTCCAGCACTTGAGTTGCGGAGGGGAGTGGGGGGAGTTTAAATATGGTTAATAAGAGATATTGTGACAGAAGAAGCCCTTCAAACCACCCACAAAGAGCCAACTTCGAGGTATCTTTGTCTGGCCAAGGAGGGCTTCCTGGTAGGAGAGGGGTTAAAGCTAGGCTCCCTGCTTGAAAAGGAAGGAGTCCAGATGAAGTCTATGACATAATCCCCACAACAACTCTGTTCATGAGTACATTTTTCCATTCTATATCAATGAAAAACAGAGAATGTAAGTGGTATGTATATTGTAGCTCTGGGCAAACTCTAGATTCTCTAGAGGAGAAAGAGCTGGGCAAGAGAGGCTTCCTTCCTGGGCTGTTAACTGGTTGCGTTGAGCTGGGCTTAAAGGTAGTTAAAAGGGCTGCTGGCCAGGGAATAACTCAGAAAACCTGGGACCCAGCACCTTCTCAGTAGCAGTCATGGCCCTTCTGAAGGGAGACTCACTGTGTAGGAGATAATCAGGAACTCCAAAGTTAATGGCCAAAATGTTTCACACAAATCATTCCAGTCAACTTTGAAAAGAAAACTGGGGCTTCGGATCAGGAAAGAGCTGAAAGGCACCTAGAGAAAGCCCCTTTCTCTTCCCCTGAAGACCATCTGAGGCAGCATGCCCCATCAGTGGGAACTGAAACCTCTAGCTTCAGGACTCCAGTTATCACTCGGATCAGGTCCACACGCAAACAACCAAGCAGAAAGGAAAACTGAAAGTGAGATGTGGCAAAGTGATACAGGAGCCTGGCCAGTCCCAGGCTCAGTTCCTTAGAAAGAGATAATGTGAGCATGCACTAGGGTTAGTAGAGGCTGGAGCTAAGAGGAAGGTTAGGTCCTAAGGAAAGAAGAAACCTATAGGTTAACAGAGAAGAGGAAAGGCAGACTGAGTTACCTGTCTGGGGTACCTTAGTGGAGCAGTGGGTAAGCAAAGAATGGAGTTCTTTGAAAACTGGTGACTCTCCACAGCGACTCAGCAGGAGACATGCCCAGCCTGGGCAGAGATGCCCAGGAAGGAACAGAAAAAGAGATCTAAGCTGTTACATGGAAGATAGGGGACGGTGAGAGAGAGAAAAGGAACCGAGTACCAGGCATCAGAGTATGATGTACTCTGAGTTGTAAGGTTTAATATATCTCAAAGCAGCCATGGGGAAAAGAGAAAACCCTCTCAATCTAGTTAAGGAACAGAAAAAAGGGTCAGGGAGCTAAACCAGGCTTTTCTGGATGCAAGCTCTAGGGAATGAGGGATGTACTCCATCTTTATTGGGTCCCAGTTCTCCACAAAGCCCTCTTGGAAGGTCTGAGCACTATAGCAGCTGGTTAGATTTTGCAAAATTTCTTTCTCTGAACTTTTGGTTTTGGGGAATCAGAATTTAAACTTGCATTATCAGCCAGTTCTATTTTTTCTGGTCTTAAAAGTCCTGCTTGCTATTGCTCCTCTGGTCAAACAGAAAAATCACATGGGTTTTCCCCTACAAACTCAAGTTTACAGGTTTTTTTCTTTGTTTCTCTAAATGGAGTCAATTATTCTCACATTTGTTGAAACCTTCAATCAAACTTTATAGCTTGTTAATTTTACAGAATGTCCTTAGAGCAAATAAGATGCAGACAGGAAAGTGAAATCTTGTTGAGATTATTAAGAAACCTTAAAATAGCCTGCAAATCCACCAACAAGGCTGGTAAAAATACAGGCTGCTTGGCTGGCTTCTGAGGTCAATTAGCAACGGGTTAATTATCATCTTTAATGAGCCAAGCCTACGGATTGGCAACAAAAAATTGAACTAAGACTAAAGTGTTTTCACTAACTGGGAACTTCTAGTTATGCACGACTCACCCTCACAGGAGACTGAAGGGTGGGTAGGACAATTCTGTAGTGGCTGAGGGTGGGTCAGTCTAAGAAGAGGACTGCCAATGAAAGTTCAGACCCAGGGAATCCTCTGGAGCTGGGAGGACAGAGGAAATGGTTTATTCACATTCCTAGAGGGAGGGGCTTCCATGCAGCAAGTAGACTCCAGACGCAGGAGGCAAGTAGGCCACAAGGATGCACAATCAGTCTGAAAACAGAGGCAGTTTACAACAAAGAGACATTTGCGCCTATGTGAATCACAACAAATTGGTATTGAATTGAGAAAAAGGGTTAGAGGGCAGGGAAAAGAAGAAACCGTGCAGGGGCTGAATGACAGAGGGTCAGAGGGAGAAAAGGCATGGGTCCTTGTGCCAGATGCATATCCTGACAATCCTTAGGCATATTGTCCAAGGGGATCAACTCAATCAGCAGTTTACACTGCTGTCATAGGACCTCATTTCTATGCAAGGCAACTAAGCAAAGATCTCTCCTTCAGTCGCTTTTGATCCCAATGTCCAGACGCAGCCCTCCCTAGTTCTATGGTTGGTCTGTGCTAGCTGAGGGGTCAATGGGTCACAAGATGAAATGCTAACATCATCGGCCAACCCACAGCAGTCACACCATTCCACGTGTCTGGTCCCAACAGCTGTGTTTCCTTCTTAGCAGAGGCGATGTGGGCCATTACTAATCAGCTGGCAATGCAGATGCCTGTTTAGGGTTGTATGCAGCCTACTCGCCCCACCCATATCCAACTGTGTTTTGGTGTGTGCGTGCACGCTGGCCTTATGTCTCCTAGAGAGGGGTGCGTGGGAACTGGCAAATGGTTAGGTAGGTACACTTGGTGGTGGGGAGAGAGGCTACTTTAATAGTTTTATTGAAAATTTCAAAAGGTACAGCTCCTTGGCTACTGAGAAGGTGATTATGTTCTGGAGAGAGAACTGGGAAAACAGAGAAGTTGTAGAGTGTACACTGGCAGAGAGAAGGTAAGTACAGTAGGAAAAATGGAACTGTTCTGGAAAGAGGAGAGTTGAGGCGATACAGGGAATTAGTCAAGAGCCTGGGCTTCATCGTCAGGCAATGAGACTTGAACCTGATATCATAAGATTTGAACGTTAAGCTCAATTCTTAGTTGTCACTTTCTAGCTGTGTGTCCTTAGACAAGTTACTTAATGTCTCTGAGCCTGTTTGCTCAAGTTGTTTGTGAGGTTTAAAAAAGAATGCATAGTAAATTCTCAGCAAAGTGCCTGGCCCCAGTAAGTACTCAATAAATGAGTGGCTGTAATTTTTTTTCTTCCTTGGTGCCTCACTCTGCTCAGGAGTGGGAGGGGCATTCTGCCTAATACCACTAAGATGTGTGGAAACAAGACTCAGAGATAAGGAAGGAAGCATAAGGCTGGCAAACACCCTAGGGCTGAGGGGAGAGGCCCTGAAAGGTTCATCTGTATGTTGAAGCTGCTGAAATATTTTATTCAGAGCTAAGGTGCTTGGTCCAGGCTGCTGGGCAGGCCGCTTGAAAGAGGGAAGGCCCAGCTTCTCTTTAGCTATCCCTCCTATTCTCCAAAAATATTCCTGGACCATGAATGCATTCAATAGGACTCTAGAGAGGCCCCAAGATCCTGGGCTTTAGGATAAGCATGAAACCAATGCACACATCAGAAATAAACTCCTATAGTGAACATCACAATTGCCTTATCCATCTAGTCCCTTCATACTGGGGTGTGGGTGGTGGCTTTGCCCATGTTAATGGTATCCTCCTTAAATTAAAGACTCAGCTAGATCCTTGTTCCAGGTCTCTCAATATAAGAGAAATGATGAAAAAATTCTCAAAGAGGCATTTTCTACCCACCTGCACTTCCTGAGCTTGGATATTCTGAACAAAGCCAGATAGGAGTCTGGGCTCTCCAGGACAGGGTACAGCTTGCTCTTCTTGAACTGTTCCCTTATGGAAAGAAAGTATTTTCTTCTAGCGCTCTGAGCTCCTGCCGTACGAGCAAGGTGCATTCTCAACAGTGAGTGCGTCACAGAGAGCAAACTATAGGCAGCAGTAGCTCGGGCTGCGATCCAATCGGCTTCCCCTGCAGAGTGCTCTGAGGACAGCCACCCACATTGGCAGGGGTTAGGGGCGGATACTGGCACTGCCAACACAAGCCTTTCAGGTCTGGCTGGCTTCAGCTGGTCTGAAACCTGGAACACAGGCGCTGGGGCCCTCACTTACTGAACCAGCAGGGGAGGCTACAAGCTCAGCCCCTGGGGATGAAAGTCCTGATGTCTGTCTCAGTCTGCAAATATCCACATGCAGTCTGTTTCTACATTGCCAGTTAGTTCTGGGCCAGAATTGTATCTTGGGCTCTAGTTGCTTTGAGCCACATTCTTATTTGCTTTCTAGACAGGCAGGATCAGGAGACCACACCACCCCTTAGGATTGTGTTCAGGCTCCTTAACCAAATCTGTTCCTAGTTTTATTTATTTTACACTTGTGGGGAGAGCACCCTTTCTGAGACATCTGCAGCATTCAACACATTTAGGCAGCATTCAACAAATATTTACTAACTTCCTACTAAGCACACTAGGTATTATTCTAGACCCTGAGGATTCAGCAGAGAACAAAGCAAAGTCCCTGCTCCAGTGTGGAGGGGATGGGGGATGGGCCACATTCAGATCAGGTACCTCAAAGACTTCCTGTATCAAGAGAAAAATAACCCTTTCCTCCACCCCCATAAATTACCTACAACATTCAGGAGGGCAGAATTCTTATTCTTCCTCCTCAAGGTAAGAGGAAAAGGCAGCCTGAGGAGAAGAAAAACTTGTAGAGACCTGGCACACTTTTCCTTTATCTCTTTCAGGGAGAAGTGTCCTAAGGAAGTCAGGACAGAGAATTCCCTTGGACGCAGCCTTGCTACCAGATGAAATCCCAATTTTTTTCAACGATCTCTACAAGCCTTCTACCACACACCCACACCTCCCCACTGTACATTACCATTCTCACTTCTTGCTATTATTCCCTAATCCTCAGATCCAGGCCTGAAGCAACTGTTTGATATTCCCCTGCATGCCATTTGCTCCCCTTCGCACCTCTGAGACTTTACAGATTATGCCACAACCTACAGTGCCTTTACCTTTATGCAATCAATAATTCTCTTATCTTCCTTTAAATGTGATAAAAAGCCTTTTTTTTCAAGAAGCCTTTGTCCACTGTGTCAGCCCACTATCCACAAATATTTCCTAAGGTCCTACTATGTGACAGGGACTATGCTAGACATCCTGGGCACACAAGAGAGAACAAGGCAGATGCAGTCCTTGACTACAGAGAATTTTCAGTCCACGGAGGGATTCCACAGTAACTTGACACTAACTTCTTCCAAATGCGCAGCTGTCTCTTCAGCACCTGTGGGTTAGGCCTATACTTCATTTATCTTTCTCTGACCTCATTAGCAGCCCTCAACATCTGTATTACCTATATGCCACAAAGTGAGTTATTGATCCTTCAGAGCCACACTAGAACCTCCTCAATATCATCTCCCAGTGATCCAACCCTTTACTGAATATTTCAGGTGGAAAGGATTCAAGACCCTGGGGAAGCTTTTAAAACCGTCATTACTTAATGTTTGAGAAACATACGTAGTTTTTATTATACCTACTTAACAGGTTTTTTTTCCCGTTAACTTTCAGTCCTGACCATGCTGTATGAGAGGTCTATTAGTTGTGAATCTACAAGAGGGCTCATTTTCTACTAGGGAGCTCATTCTATTTTTGGAATTTTCTAATTTCTGTCTATCCCTTTTAAGCCCCAATCTGTCTCCCACTACCTCTAATTTTGTTTTCTGGGGCCACATAAGAAACTCTACTTCTGCTTCTACATAACTGGCCTCAAATTATTTGAAGTCTGCTGTGTTATACTCTCTCTAGGCTAAACAGTCTCAACTTCCTTCAACTGTTCCTCACTTCAACTGTCTCCTCAACATCCTGCACATTACATTCTTTCACTAAGACTTTCACTGAGACTACTGTGTCTCCTAGAATGAGTGCCCACATGTGATCCGGCAGCGGAGAAAAGAGAGGAAGGAATATCTCATTGTTCCATTCTGGATACCTCAATTCTATGAATAGGCCAAAACGGCACTGGTTTTGTTGTTAACCACCTTACTTGCGCTAACAACACATTGTGAGCTTTTAATCAACAAATTGTTTTCACATATGTGGCTAAGTAATATCTCCCTCCACTAAATGTAAGATATCCACTAACTATTCTCTTTTATACTATTCCTTTACTGAGGTCTCTCCACGCTATAAGAAACCCTATTATTTAGTATTGTGCTGCATGCTACCTGCTATGTACAGCTGACTTTCTGGATAAGATAAGATTTTACATTTATCTGATCTGTTTTCATCTTATTTACTTCTTTCATTGCAGCCTGTCAAGTTCTCTTTGAATTCTAATTTGTCATCTGAGAATGTATTCCCTTCTCAAGTTTATGACATCCATAAATTTGATCTGTTGATTTGTTTATACTTCTTAATATCTTTCTCCCATTAATCTGTCTTGTTTTCTCTCCTAAGTAAGATTCCTGAGGGCAGGCACTGTAATTTGTACACACACACACACACACACACACACACACTGTCTCTTAAAGAAAAACCTATCTGTAGCATCTAACATACACTATGGGTCCTTGGACAATGATCATGGGAGGTAGATGGCAACCTTAGGACCTCAGGACAATTCCAGAGGACATCATGATCATGCAGGGGGTACCAACCACATTGTCTACTACACGAATCATGCTCCTTGTGTTGTGTAATACAGACACCCTGGACAGACTCAGGGATGCTAATTTTCTGCTTTGGGTGGTGCTCTCCAAGGAGGTTTGGGCTCAGTTAGGGAAATGTGCTCTCTTTTGACAGGCTGCCTACAGAGTTCCTAGTTTGAAATAAGATACCACAAGAAGCCAAGCTCTGGGCATGTTTTATCTTGCCTTAAGTGGAGGCTGTTGCCCCAGGGCAAGGTATAACGCACCTCAAGCAAGAGGTGAGACTTACGCTCTTTGAAGCACTGAGGTCGTCGTGCTCTGGGAAAAAGTATACCCATATCTTGAGAATCCCCACAGCAAATTAAAAATATAGTATGCAAAAATTCCCTGAGGTTAGGGTTGAGATGTAAAGCCACTTCAAATTTTATTTTCAGGTCCTACATCTAGAGTTCTAAATATCAAATGTGGCTAATGCTTCATGGTTGGAGATAAGACAAGCTTTGTGAACTAACTAAAGTCTATTCATAGTTAGAGATGAAGTATAAGACAGGCAAATACTTGGCACACAGAAAAAGTTCAATAGATATCAGTTCTCTTTCTTCACCTCTGAACACTAAAAAGAATTTTTTTTTCAAATCACCTATATCAGAATCACACAGTGAGCTTGTTAAAAATGCAAATTACTGGACTCCACTTTGGACTACATAAATTAACATTTCTGGGGATAGGGCCTTAGATTGTACACTTTAAACAAGTCTTCCAGGAACTTAGGAACACTGAAGTTTGAGAATCATTGCTTTAAAGGCTGAAAAGCTATGTGAAGATGATCACACTTTAAAAAAATGCAACTCCACTTTAGTTAAGGTACAAAAAATACTACTTTATATTTTTCATAGCACTTTTAGGATCTAGAAAATCCTTAGTACTCTATGAAACAGTTGCTGTTACATCCAGATAATGATAACAGAGATGAAGAAAGTGAAAATTGAGTGATTTAAATGAGATTTGAAGCCAGATGCAACGGCTTTCTAGTTCAATGTTCTCGCAACCTCACCAGAGCTGCTTCCTGGAGGAGCAAGCACTGTTGGGCCTTCTAAGGCGTAACAACAAACCTGCTGTATGCTTCTCTCACCCTTAACAATTACGAAGAACACTTAGTGAATGGCTGCTACATGCCCAGCACTATGTCAAATGTTTTACATGCACCAATTTACCTAATCCAGATAACAATCTCATGAAGTAGGTACTGTCATTATCTTAGCTTTACAGATGAGTAAATCAAGGCACAGAGAAGTTAATTTGTTCAAGGTTATGCAGGTAGTAAGTGGAGGGGCAGGGATGTGCCTCTGCTCTTAAATCAGTGTCCAAATGCCCATAGCTCTCAGTGGATCCAGGCCATTTACCTGTGCTGAGGCGCTCACAATCTCCACAAAGGGAAAGAACTAATCTAGTACAGAAATTCAAAGGGGGCAGTCTCTCGTTGCTGGTTTCTAAAGACTGGACTCCTTCAGAGTCTGGGTGTACTTCTTTTGGACAGTTGACATGCCATAGGTCTGGGGAAAGCCGGGTCTAGAGGAAAGTTCATTTCATGCTTTCCTAACGTGGGCAAGTTACTGAACCTTGTTTGCAAAATGTAGATCATTCTGAAGGTCTCTTAAAGGTTTCTATCATTCTGAACAGTCATCTTGGATAGGAGGAGAGGAAACACAGTTCATTTCTGCCACTGACCTTGATCCTGGAGCTCAGCTCTGTCACAGGGGGCAGTGCAAAGAGCTGGGCTTGGCCTTTTTGGAAGGACTGATGATTCAGAAACTGAACTAATAGCGAGAGGCTAGAGATAACTCCTGATGAAAAAAGGTGGTATAGGTTCTTTTCACACAATAAGCCACTCTCAGGAAGACTTGGAGGGTTTTATGGAATCATTAGCACAGAGCTCCCCTCTGGCCACAGAGCAGAGGAAGAAACAGCAGACCAGTTTATAAAGCTCCAGAGCGGAAAATTTCTGTTGGTGTCCAAACTAAGTTTTTGGCTTTCTGTGAGGTTTGGAAAGACTTGTACTGATGTTTTAATCACCTGTTTAGTGTTCTGAAGACTCTTGTCAGCGGCCTCACTGAGCCTGCTCCAGGAGTGGGGAGCTGCTGGCTCATGCAACGTGCTCTTTTTGTGAGCCGTTTCTTTCCCATGGTCATCT